TCGGAAAAACGGAGCAATAAAACACGACGGGACAAGTAATTACATAGATTGAAAAATGATCAGGACTTTGTCTCGCTAATTCAAACAAAAAATGTAATAAAAGAAGAAAAAAAAAAGAGAGTAGCAGGACGCAAACGCGAAAAATATTCTTAAAAACTTATCAGACGGGCTTATTCTAAAGTCTGTGTACTAATCCCAAGTTACACCAAAGCTTTGAAATATATTTATTTAAAAGATAGGTATCTTTCTGAGAACGACTCAGAAATTGTCCTAATTTTAAGGTTTTTGGCAGTAATGGAAAGAGAACAGATCATAATAGCAATGATAAATCTGGTGAAGATGTCGTATTTAAAATAGAAATAGTAGAAATTTCCGTGGATACAAAAAGCCGTTAATGCGAATGCTATCAGTGTTAAGAGTATGCATGGCCACTGACAAACTAAATCGGTGTCGCTCACCAATCATGCAATGCATGTCATCCTTGCATCAGTACTACATTACTCTGTTCATCGTTTTGCCAAATTCACATTATTTTATTGGACACCAGACGATAAATAGTAAAGCTGTGCATCGTTACTAAGTAGACTAAAAACAAATGATTTTATCTAGTATCTTTAATAACCTTGATTCTTGGCATTGACAAATATTCTTCTTAAATCGTTAGTCAATAGTCCAACCCTTGCTTTCATACTCATACTCCCTCTTATTTATCATCATCTCAATGAAAACACGAGATATATTTTGAACGATTACAACTTAGGAAGCAAACGACCTAAAATGTTCATGAACGATATTTTCAACAACTCATCAACTATTAAAGGAAGATGTAGTACTTTTTGGACCGTGGAATAAAAGGAAAAGTCTTCCTAACGCCTACCAATTTCAACTTCGCGTTCTGATACTCTTGAACTGAGTTTCAGAAACCTCGTGGCGAGCTCGGCCGTATCATAGTATGCTAGATTCACTTGGGACTCTAAAGCTACCGAACAGTTTTTGTGTCCCAAGACAAGGTAGTTCAATGCCCTCCGAAAAATGCGTTTTCGTGCTGCTTATTTCACGGAGAACTCAACGAAGAGAGCATATTTTTAACTCACGCACACAGGTTTCAATGTCGTTTGTGAGTTACTCTTTGTTCTAAGCTGTTATTTAGGAAACAAATGTTTAGATATACGACCTCTTTGTAAAAGATCGAAGTCAGAAAATATTGTTAGTGAACTGCACAAATCACGAAATTGGAAAGCGTTGAAGTTACAACAGTTTAATTTTTAATTTCCTCCCTTTCAAGAAAACAACATTTTGATTTAAGTTGAATTGTAAAACCATTACCTGGTTTGATTTTTCGTGTTTTAGACTGCGTGGTATTTTCTCTTGCTTTCTAGATCTCTAGTCTCTGAAGTTTCAAAGGAATTTTCTACGGTCTGGTGACGATTGCTCTCAACCCTAATTATGTCGACCTACGCGTTGAAATCACGAATTTATAGGCTATATACAGTCAAGATTTGAAAGGAAGTAAATGTTCTCCTACTTTTAATTATCATTATTATTTTGGCTTTTAAAAGGCACTGGTTAAAAACTGACTTTTGTATAGATGTATGGAATTTTTAGTAGTGGGCTCCCGCTTAGTTTTATTGAGTCTCTTTTGTGAGAATCATGTTTGAAAGTAGGGTCTAGATCGAGGAGTTTCTAAATAGCGAAAAAGTATCCTATCATAAAATTTTCCTTAATCTTTCAGATTTCGTGTTTAAAGAATAGTCGGACCAAAAAAATACAATTTTGACACCACCGAAACTTCGTGAAAACCTTTTTCATGAGGCGCTTTAGACTAACTGTCTCACGCTTACTGTTTACTATAACCGCAATTAAGATCTAATGTATTCATTCTAATTGTTTGATTGTCAACAACACGTACGATGCATTCGCGATCAAGAAAGTATGAAAAAGGGCATTATTCTCTCAGTTACCGAAGGTACAGAAACAACTAGTGCACGGTCGAAAATCTCGGAAAATATAGGCTATCATTGAAGATTCTCGCACTTGAAATGCTTGATTTATTGTATCAGTTAAACTTACCTGAAAACATAGTCGACTCTATTTCGGCGAGAAAATCAATTCCGTTGCCTGAAGGCGTAAAATTGTGCACATAAGTTAACCTTAGATTAAGGGACATCGTTTCAATCGTTGATCGAAACAATACTGATATTGTGCTCTACTGAAGTTACTTGAAATAGACAGAGGGCCAAACGAGGACCGTATCGATAGTTTTGATTTTCCTTGTACATAGTTTCGTTTTGAGGGTGAAATTGTGAGAAATTCAAGAGATAACTTAGGTCACGTAGGATAATTCTGATTTGATGTGCATTTAGTCCACAGTTCCTCGACTCAGCTCAGTGGCTTGTGTATGGGGTCCCAGGGTTTCTCAGTTTGAGCTGTAACTTTTGTTGTTTTAATATTGGGAAGCCAAATAATAAAATGAGCTCGTTTGGTTCAGCGTGAACTGTTGTAATCCTGGTTGTCGCTGGATATGAACTGTATGAACTCCGCATTTCGTTTTCCAGCTTAATTCTGTCCAGGAAAGGTTTTTGATGAAGAAGATACCCTAGCCAGAAAAACAAAACTAGACTTCTTAATTTCTGGAAAGAAAAGAAAAAAATTACGCAAGTAATTTTTGTGTGGTGTAATGCTTCCTCTTCTTACAGGAAATTGTCTGTGTCAAATTGTCTTCCTACGACTTGTACATATCTTCCCATCAGATTCCGTGGTTTGAAAATTCTCACGATCCACCCTTATGAAAAAACCGCATCTCAAAAAGAGTCCTTTTTTAGACTTAATTCATCCGGTCACAAGGATAAGCCAATGCTTTTTGGAGACATAACCAGTATATTGTTTATTTGTTTCATATAAGAAATTGGTTATTAAACTTTTTTCGACTTCACTTTTCTTTTTATCTGGTTCTGTTTATTACGTAATTTAGGCTCCTTTGCCTATCTAGTTTGAGTTTGAGCGGAATCTTTTAAATGCCTTTTAAATAAATGATAGTATTGCAATATATAAACAGATACCTAGTGAAGTTTTTGCAAACAGGATTTTTAATTATCTTCACAAGTTTAAAACCATTATTACTTGTGTTCCACTTTTTGTTAATATTAGGAAAGTACTTTGTAGAGTGTATTCTGGACTTTTCGATCTGGAAGCCCTCGGAGGGATATGAAATCAACGGTTGTTATCTCAAATGATCCTATACATAGGCCAAGCATTTTAGATGATTATTTTCAAGTTTTACTTCAAGTAGAACTACTTTTTGATCGTTAGGAATTTTCGTTTCAAGAATGCGAGCTATGAGTTCCCTTTGTAGCCGTGCGTGATTTACAGAGCCTGAAATGCTGTCCACTTGTAAGGGTCAATGATTTCGACCCCATTTGGATGACTTAGCGAATAGGAATCTATATTAATCGTTTGCTTTCGTCATCTAGGGCGAATTAATCAACAGTGGAACCTTTTGCAGAGGCTCCGGCTATTTTTATCATATTTCAGCTCTAAAGAGCAATCTACCAACGCAGAGCTATATATCGTTGTGTTTAGACCGCAATTTGTGCGTGTGAACTGAAATAATCAGCGATGAATTACAATCTCATTAGTTACCTTAGATCGTGGTGTCCATTCAGGTTAAGTCGATTCGTAAGTCATCCGAGTAAGTGGATTTGCTGACAGCTTTTACACGAGTGTCTTTTGAAAAACAACCGCAAATACAAAGGAAATGGATTGTAATGTCAGTACGGAAAAATTGTTGGTCTAAACTTTAGTTTATTTTCCTCTCACGGGATCACCACAGTGCAGCTTACACACATAACTCTAGCTGATGCTAAGCTGCGAAAATCCATCTGATCTTGAGAAAGGGTTTTATAGCCATTCTCCGCCTTCGACTTTCAATCTGACAATGGCTAATTTGTTGTATATACAAAATCCACTGGGCGCTTTTATTGTAAACTGCTGATTAAATTAACGAAAAATCCCTTTTGTTTTACATAAACTGAAGATTACAGTGGACGACTTTAGTCAAGAAACGAAAACTTTTTACTGAGACTCTGGGAGGTACGGATGTTGAAATTTGGCATGAATGAATTTACGAGGGCCTGGAGCACAATACATTTACATGAGGCACGTTCACAGGAAAAGAGAGAAATTAGAATTCATTCCTTTCTATTTCGTTTCGACACAAAAGTTTTAAGTCGAGCCATTGTTCTCTTTGCTGATAATGTCTTCTCAGGAGAGCATTTTCGACACCTTGCTTGTCAACCTGTCGTCATTAATCATTCGCAAATACTAAGTGCGTTATGTAAATAAGGTTGTCTTGTTTGTGCTTATGGGGGCGCGATTTTTCCATTACCTTAACCGACCAGTAGAAAACGCTAAAAAGAATCTCATTTCCATTTGCCACAATAAAAGTGTGTGTTGACGTGTGATAAATTTCGGAAGCCACGCAAACGTTATCTATCTTCTCTTTTAATTTCGTGACACCTGTTGTCAGTGTTTGCTAAACTCGGTCATGAGGTAAACTCTTTTTTTCGAGCGGAGATCACTTTACTTGCTGTAAACCCTGTGCACAGTTAAGCCTACACGGTGTAAAAACCGTGATGAGAACGTAAGCCCTTGACTTAGAAGCCAAACAATGCCCGTTTTCATTTTTTCGTTCCACAAATGGTCGACGCAGCCTGCATAACGATCGCTGAAGAGTCCAATTGTCAATGGCATAATAACGCTCCACCCATTTTTGAACAGCGAATAATACTTTGCTTTTTATAGTTCGCTTGAATGAATTCACAATATAATTAGATTTAGACTTCAAGAGTCAGCAAATTACAGATTAAAAGTGACTTCTCCCAAGAGGATAGTCATTAACTATTAATTGAGCTACCAAATGTACGTAACACAGGAAATACATAAATTCACGAAAACAATGGGCCCACTAAAAGACTGTCCACATCGTTACGTAGGGGTATAAATACTCGCGCGGAAGCGAAATCTGTCAGTCAGATGCGTCGAGGATGAAGGTGTAAAACACCTCGAAACAGGTTTCAAGTTAGAAAAGAATGGACGGTGCTATGAGTACGTTTGGTCTGCCACCGTTCGACATTGGTCAAGATTTTAGTATTCCGCCTCATTTACGCAACCCGGAAAATTTTAATGCTCGCTTTCCCAATGCACGTTTTCCCAGCGCAATTTCGAACATTTTCAGGGCCGGAGATTACGCCAGCAAAAGCGTTAGTGACGATCATGGCGGTCGCCACATGGATATGAGCAATGGAATAGAAGACATCTCCGAAATTGGAGACAACGAGCTGCCCATTTCTGTGGCCGCTATGAATGAACCTTATCTTACCTCGGGGACTACGACGCTTGGATGCACACAACAACAACACAGTTCTTTACACACAACGATTCCGCCGCTGCAATCGTCCAATTTTTTCTCCGACCCCGTCACTTCTGAAGCGGACTCTTATTCGAGGGACATGCCATTCGCGAGCCCTATGGATTTCAATATAAAGAACGAACAAGAGCCTCGATTTCACCTAAATCCAAGTTCTGCTATCTCAAGCATATCGAGTGCACTACAGCCCAACAAACCAAACATCATGCGTTCGATTTACGGCCCCAACTTAAATCCCTCTTTCCCAGATCCAGCCTCTCAGTCGATGTACACTTACATTCATCAAACGCCGGTAAGCAACGATTCAAAAGCGCCGCAGTTTTACCGACCGTTTCCCGGCTTCCCGCCTTTTGATACGCCAGAATCCATTCAGGACAATCACGGCTTTTCAAAGTCAGACGACAGCCGAATTTTTTCCCCGGTTCCCAGCAGTCACAGGCCTCAGATTATCGACCGTCAAAAGCCACAAGGCACCAACCGAGCGGACGCTCACGACGTTGAAGATGTTGACGATGCTAACCGTTGTAAAAACACAGTGGAAGGTACTAAAACGTCAGTTCGTCGCCTCAAGAAGTGGTACAAAGACAAGTACGGCAAATCTATCGACATGAACACTGTTACACGCCAAATGGCTCTAGAAATGTTGAAAGATTTCTTTCTCGAAATTCGCGACACGCGGCCAGGTAAAGAAGGAAACGAATACGAACCTGTGACACTGACAACGTACAGAAATGGTCTGAGGAGATATTTCCTCGAAAGAAAGTGTCCTCCCGCTGTAGAAAACTTCGATTTGGCCGATCGAGAATTCGATGTAGTCAACTATGGCCTGGTCTCAAAGAGGAACGAGCTCAAGCGCAAAGGAAAAGGAAACCACCCAAACGTGGTTGAAAGCATTACCGAAGAGCAGTTAGAGAGAATGTGGGCCTCGGGAGCTATTGGAGTGCACGCACCGAGACCTTTATTACGACTCCAGTGGTGGATTAACACAGTCAGTCATGGAATAAGAGGACGCATGGCCCACCATGACCTAAGCATCGATGACTTTCGCATCTCTCGCGGCCCAGACGGCAAGATCATAATTGACCACATGAAAGCTGGGAACAAGAGACCAAGGGCGGACGAAGAGAAAGACAACCCTAGAAGCAAGAAAAAGTGCAAAGCCCGGGTAGCAGCCACCGATGGAAGCGAACGAGATCCCGTACGTGCGTTCGAGGTGTACCTCCGTCACCGTCCACCTGGTATCTCGTCGTTTTATCTCACCCCCAAGCACAAGCCTAAGGGAGATATCTGGTTCAATAAAGTGCCCATGGGCAAAAATTCTATTGGAAGAATCATGAGGGAAATCAAGGCAATTGCTGGGATAGGATAATTTTCACTGGCTGAGAACTCTAATTCAATGAGAACTTTACTGCTGCTTCAAAGGTAGCAGAAGGAACTTTATGACCATTGCAAAGGTCAATCGCCTCGCGCGAGACTTAACATAGAGACGGTTTCAAACCATTTTCCTTGAACTGAAGGACTGATACACTCGTAAGTAAACACTACAAATGGCTTCTGCTCTTTTAAAGAAGAAATCTTGAAATTTTTTATATAAAATTATAAAATTTTATGCTATTAAGAGTAAGAGAATCAACTATATGCGATACACACATATAAATATATCTATATATAAAATAATGTTTTTGGTATATCATTGGGAAAAAGTTTATTAAGTAACAACTCGAAAACAGTGCTCATGGGATTTTCCATCATTTGCAAGAATTTAAACCTAAGTATTTAATATATTAACTATGTCAGTAATAACCTTTCAGTGCTTACTTAAGTTTAGTTCGCGTTGCCTTCCAGTGATCCATTTATTTCAAAAGGAAAAACTCACGAGGTTTGCGAGAATTCTCAAAAGTAAGATACAACCGCGTGGCTTTGAAACGCTTAATAAATTAAAATTTAGAGGATTTTGAAAATAACGGAATTTCTCTTTGAGAGCATAGCTTTTTCACAGCGTCATGGAAGATCTCGTTTTGCAGCCAAAAAGATTTTAAATTGTAATGAATTCGTTATTGTCCTCGGGCGTTTTATCTTTTCTCCTTATCCATCAGGAGTTCAATGTGTTTTTCGATGCACAAACTCCTTACTAATCAAAACATTCTTGGCAAGTATCTTGTGGAAATGAATTATCTTGGAATATAGCTGGAATCTTTTTTTAACAAAGCTTTCTAAGAAAACTTTTAATATAAAAAAACATAACAAGAAAGAAAAAAGGGCCTTTCAAAAGGTCAACACAATTAGCTGTGAAAAAGGCGTTTCTTCACACACAGGTTTCATAGAACACCAAAATCTACAAAGGAGATTTGAAAAGTTGAAAGATAAGAGAATGTATTAGCTTATAACGATTTATTGTAATGAATATATTTTTATCAAAATAAGCGAGGAGTGTTAAATTTTGTTCGCTAGGGCCATTTCGCACCATCGCCGCTTCCGCAAACGGCGTAGAAGTTCTTTAGTACTAGATTAAATTTCAGATAGGAGAAAATCGCCATGTAAATAGATTTATAGTTTCTTTCATTGCTTTACCTTGTGCCCACGAGAGCGTTTTATTAACTCTTAAGAGAACCCGACGAGCGGAAGGCAGTAGAAGCCGATCGTAGAACACAAATGTATTTAGATAACAGTTCACCATTGTTTAATAAAGAGATGGGACAAGACTACCTTTGTGTTAGTGATGTTAGATTACTCCTATCTTCGTTTGGATCAGTTTTACCGTTTTGCTAAGTAAAGGCTAGCAAAAGACCACTAAGAAGCGTGCTTTTACCGTTTGAAAGAATGAGTTTGCAATTGAGCTTTTTCGCAAATGCTTTTAAGAGCAATCGCTCGAGTTTTTCTCTCCTGGTTATTTAATCTCCTTGCCCTCATTCTTTCATGCCCATTTGAACGAATGAATTACTTCCATTGATGTACATTTTCACCATTTTACCTTAAAATTTCACTCGAAGAAATAGAAATAGTTGCACGGAATTAATTATCAGTTCCTTACGGTTTTTTTATTTATCCTCAAAGCCTTTCATGTTACTTCGCTTAAGGAATTTTATTTCTCGCAAATTAAGAAGGCGTTTACAAAGCTCAATTTTTGAAAGTTTACTCTCCAGGAACAGAAAACTGTAATGTCTATTTTAGGTTACGCTGTTCATGTAAATGATCTTGACGAGTTTGTTCGTTACATTGCGCTTGTTTCTTGAAAGCTAATCTTTAAAGGTTCGTCTAATCTACATAGTAAACAAAATAAAATTCTAGCTGTGTGAGTAAATTATTTGGGTTCTCGTGAGAAATTATGGAAGCTTTCGTGAGTTGCTATGATGTTGTTTTGGCTCCTATTACAAACACACGGCAACAGTTCCGTGACTTCTAAATTGCTCTCCGTCAAACCAAACTCCCTTTGACGCATGTCAAACCCGACGTCTTGGTGGCAATCGGCGCGCGCAACAAAGTGAGCCGAAACAAGTCCTGCCTCTTAGACAAGCAAAACTAGATCCAATATCGGCACGATTCCCGTGGTAAAATTTCATTTCTTTCGAGAGCGACCTAGCAGTTTTTCTGCATAAGCAGTCTGCGGTCGCCTTGTATGGGAAGTAAAAGAGTAAGGAGTAAATTGTTTCAAGAGGGTGATTATCACTTAGATTACGATAATAATAGGTAGGAGTCGACCAATATAACGGTGGCACGGTTGACGTTTTTGCGGGTAGAGGAACCGGTATTTTTTTGTAATAATTGCATGCTTCCTTTAAAGTTCATTCTGTTTACGTGACTAAAGGTACTCCTAAGAGGCATACAAACTCGCACCTTTTGGAAAGCCACCCATATCGACACAATTAAACTTCGGCAAAGGAAAAGGATTTCACTTACAAAAATAACAAACAAGTGGGCAGGCGCAATCTGATAGGATTTTTTTTGCGGCAAGTTGAGAGAGATTCTTAAATTATGAATAAAGCTTTAAGTTTTTTGTTGTTCCCGCCCCTTGGCGTGCCTTCCCATTGTCCAGAGACAACTCTAGAGTAAACACATAAAACGCGAGAGAGATTCACTGTACGCTTTGTAACTCTAACTAAATGGGATCTCCTTTCAGAGATGATTTTCTCAAGGCTTGTTCACTTTCGATTCTGCTATTGGTAACAAAAATCGTGATCATAGTAAATGATCGTGCTCCCAAACTACAGACAATGGGCTCTTCTAGTGGGTCGTTAAAGCGTGGGGCAATAAGTTGCGGCGACAATTTCACGCAATAAAATTCCCATCGTCCAATCAATGAAACACCTATGGACAAGATGTCTCGGTCCTTAACGAAAAAAAGATACCAAACGCAATACACATTCGCGGACTTTGGCTTCAAAGCACTGTCTCTATAACAACGCTCAAAACACTAATTTTAAGTTTTAAAAAGTGCCCTCATCTTGATGAAAAAGAGGCCAATTTTAAAAGTTACGTAATTGCGTTTCCATAAATATATACCTTGCGAAAAGGCAGAGGCCGCTTCTTTAGGAAAAAGATAAAATAGACGATAAACTGCACTTTTAAAATTAGATATCCGGTGGTTTTCTGAGATTGCATCGTCGCAAATTATTTAAGCGATTTTTAAGTTATTTTTATCGTGGCAGGGGGTTGTGACTTGGTTAAAATTGCGTCCATTTCGTGCTTATTCTCGATTTTCCTTTAACTCCGTTAGTGTTGGAAGCGGAAACGTTGGAAGATCAAACTGAAATCGTTAAAAAAACTCGGTTTCTTAGGCTCATAAGCATTAAATATTCTAAATTTTGCACAAGTGTAAAAAAAAGAGTGAGTAGGTAAAGACGTTCCCACTCCCATTTTTGTACCTCGAGGTACGCAACATAGCTTCACAGGTGTTGGTTGAAGACTCGCATTACAGATCATGATCATGTCTGCCTTACCGTTTGGTTATACATGGTAAATATATGTTTACAAGTGTGTATTTCTTTTTCCTGCTAAAATATTTAAGGATTTACGAGCTTCTATGTTAGCCTTTGTAGAGATCTTCAGCCGAGATTTGCAGCCCGAGGGAGTTTTGATATACGGAAGGTTTGTTAAATGTGTATCGTGTGCTTTAGTCTAATATAAAAGGCGATGCGTCTAGATGACGCGACCCACATCCAATCTTTAGATATGGGTTGACGTAGGCGGGTAGATAATGATTCTCTGATTGTCAAGGATCCTGAAGGTCACTTTAAACTTGTTAAAGACGACTGTTACTTTTTAACTTGGATATTCGGTACCTCCAGAGTTACAAAAATATGGCTAAATAAACCTTTTTTATTGTCCACTCAACAACGATATAAATTTGGTTTGGTCTCTGTAATTTCTTTGTTGTTCAATGCAAGCTATGAAACTCCAGTACTGGTTTTTCCTTCGGATGCGTGCTTTAGCAGTCACAATATTCTGCCTGCATCGGAATCTTCTGGTGGAGAGAATGAGTGCATGATATTGAAAGATGTTAGTGGACATTTTAATTTTGTGCTATATATAGTTTAAGCACGAATATAGATGCTATAGTTTCCGAGACTCATGTCTGTAGGTCAAATAAATAGCAGAGACAGAGGCACTTAGCAATGTTGAGATCGAGCCTAATAGACTCCAACGAGAAAAGCAAACAGCAAAGTCAGATAAGATAAGGGATTTGGCTTTGGATGCCCCAAAAAATACTTGTGTTTACGATGTCTGTGACTGGAAAGTAAAGTGCAGTTGTTATATGGGAACGCGTGCATTAAGTGAACGATAAATCAAATGATTACCGATCACATAGTATTTCAAATTGGTTGGTCAGGTTTATTTGATATAGGGAAACTAGGTGCTTGGCTGGGCAATAGAGAATATGATCACACTACGTGTCTTTTGGACATGTTTCGATAAAAATAAAGACATACATACACAAAAATGATTTAGGCACCCCACGTGTTGAAGTATCATTTGTGGTTTTCCTGTTCACCTCTAAATTAAAAAGAATGGAATTTTCCTTTGTGCTCTGGTTTTTAAGAATGATAGCTTTCCTCGGCTTTCTCTTGCTATTTTACTTTTGAAGTTTCTTCCAGAGCGGTCGAATCACCTCAAATGTAGTATTATTTGAGTTTTCTTTTAATGTTAGTTGTCCATAAACTAGTAGGGGTGCCATGAGTAATAGAAGCTTGTGTATAGGAGGAAAGAAACTGAATATTCAGAGTGCTCTTGTTTTATATTTTCTTTTTCATATAAATCTATCTATTACCAAAATATCATAGACGAACCGTTTTCAAGATAATCAAAGCTGTGAGTAATACTCGGATACTCCGTGCTGTGATGCGAACTTTCAAAATTATTTTTCTAAGCTGTTCTCTGATAATTTGAATATAGTATGCTCAACCTTGAGCAAGATTTATCAGTTGTTGATCATGCTAAAACTGTCAAAAAATTACTATTCCAATGATTTTAGGTTTACCCAACTCAATCATATCTGAACCCGTTTACAGCAGGAAGACTTCAATCTCTACATCAAAATATCAAATAAATAAATAAAGTGTTTAACTCGCTACGATTTGACTTCCGTCATTACTAAAGTCCCTCTCTCTCTCTTGCTGATATGTTCAAGTTTGGCTGATGAATTTACCAATATATGTGTCTTTCGATTTGTGCACACTGATGTCCACACATATATCCGGTGTTAAATATAGTAAAGTGGAGTGTTTATTGTGGATTGAAAAGAGAACACATCAGCGAGCAATACTGTTCATGCAAAT